AAATAATTGAATTGTATAAAAAGTTCATTTCACATAAACAGTTTTTTCAACTAATTTTTATATTCACTGATTTTCAAATATCATTTTTATAGCGTTTATAAAGCATTGTTGCACGTTTAGTTGTGAGTCTTGTGACTAGTTACTAATAAAGGCCGTTTGACATGGTCTTTGAATTCCTAAAACAAAAAAAAATTACTTTTAAACATATTTGAATAATAAATTTTAAAAGTGTTTGTCCAACTAAAATAACTTTTTAAAGAAAGTTGATCTAAGGGCCCGTTTAACTGCAAGAATAGAATTTGAGTGAAAAAAAAATGAATTTCAGATAATTGAATTGTTTAGAACTTGTTTTATTGGGAATTATCATTAATTGTGTTTGATTGATATAATTTTTCACCTGAAAAATATTGAAATTTTGGATTTTTTAGTGTTCATTTAGCTTTATTTTTCATGAAAAATATCAATTAAAGGGATATAATTTGTTACAATTGGAATAGAATTTGTTTTCATTATCAAAAAAAAAAAAAAAGTTACCTAGAAAGTGATGAGAAATTTTTTTCCTTAAAAACCAAGAAAATGTGAGCATGTATGTGAAATTTGGAAAACCAATTTCTTGAAAATTTTGGGCAATCAAGCATGCAAAAAGGTGGAAAATGAAATTTAATTTCCATCTTCCATGGAATTGAAGTGCAATCAAATAGGGTCTGAGATCTCAAAAAGCTATTCTACAAAAAGTTTTAAAAGAACTTTTTTTAAAAAATTTCCTTAATTGGTATTTAAAAATTAATTCCTAAAATAGTTTCGGAACAACTTTTAGAGAAAGTCACGTTGAGTTAGTTTCAATTAAAGGATCTTCTAATAAAAAAAAATATTTTTATAAAATTAATCAAATGAATTCAAAAATAACACAAGTTTCTTTTTATTTCTCAAAAGCCCTGTCAAAATGATCTGAAAAGTATAAATTACACCACAACAAATTTTTAAAGATGTCAATTCTAAAATCAGGTATAAAATTTACTTAAGCATAAATCAAGTATCCAATCAAAATTAAAATTACCTTCACTATCATCTCAATCTCCCTCTCTTTTACATTTCTCATAGCCACGGTTCTTTCTCTCACATCTCACGTCATTTGAGGCCACCGTAAACTCGTCGCTGCAACAATAATGTAGCCACCACGAGCGTCGTGAGCGGCGATGTTGCCGCAAAAGCACACCGTGGCCGAGGAAGTCAGCGGTGAAGATGAAGTGGTTGAGATTAAACCTTGCTGTTTTGAAGTGATGCTCACATTCGCAAGTACCAAGCATTTGCACAGACGTTGCAGCAGTCAATAGGGTTCGAGACTGAGGGCGTGTTCAGTAAAGATTAAAATCGGATTAAAAATTGAAAAACCAGCAGTTGTTGTCGACTTCTATTAGACGAGTGAGACTCAATAACGACAATACTTTCAATTTTAATTATATTTTAATCTTTACCAAACGAGCACTGAATTTCGATGAGTGTCAGTGCTACTGGATCTGACCAATTTGCTGCTTATGTTGGTGTGGCTGATGAAGATGACCTATACATTTAAGTTGTTCATGTACTTCTACGAGCTATGATGCTCATTTTATACTTCTATGTTGGGTGTTTGGGTGATCTGTGATTTTGTGATCAAAAAATTTTGGTTGTGATATTA